CCTCCTTAATTATTTAGCGCCGGAGCGAAGGGTTGCCTGGGGCCGAGCTTTTTGCGGTTGTGAGCAGTCTACGAAGACAGAAATATCGATCGGCATCAAGGTGTCAGCGTACCATAGGCTGCCATGTGATTGACATGCGTGCTAGGCGGGACGAAGGTGACATGGGCAAGTGGCGCACTGACGACCGTGGGATCGGACCGCTGCTGACTCACCTAACAGAGAACTCAATCAACTCGTTAACCAACTCGCGATTATCGGTGCGCTGTACTGTGGGTTAACGCACGTCAGATTTGTTATACTGGGGCTGTACAACTAACCCCTTTACCGTATGGCCTCTCCAAGCCTGTCGGTCTGTTGATGATAATGATGATGAGTATGATGATGATGATGATGATGATGATGAGGAGGACATAATAATAATAATAATAATAATAATAATAATAATATGATGATGATGATGATGTACTAGGTCAGACAGTTCACTGATGCATGCGAGAAGGAAAAGGTAGGAAGGACCGATGATGATGATGATGATGATGATGATGATGATGATGATGTTGATGATGGTGATGATGATGATGATGATGATGATGATGATGATGATGATGATGATGATGATGATGATGAAAGATGATGATGATGATGATGATGATGATGATGATGATGATGATGATGATGAGATGATGATGATGATGATGATGATGATGATGATGATGATGATGATGATGATATGCGCTGCGTTAGCTGACGTGACACAAGGCCGTCGCCTTATGCGTACGATACGCATCTACGACAATAATTAAGGAATTACGTGTATTCCACACCATCTGGCTAACTCATGTAATGAGTCAATGTGTCCAGCGCTTCTGTTGAGCGCAACAGCCACGCGGGTCATCTAGGGAGTGCATGTGTCAGGGAGGACGGACAAGTCAGCCCTACCAACGGTAACAAGTGTCATATAACTGTCACTAATAGCAATGTGAATCAGCACACATGTCACATCACCTAGCACGAAAAATTACCAGTCTGAGAATTGAAACTATCAAGGTCAATTTATCTGTGAGAAACAGCTGCATGTCGCGGGGGGAGTTGACCACCACTTCCGAACGAGAAAAAAAAACTATCAACCCTTAGCAGAGATGCCCAGCTAGTGGCCCGTAGGATGAGAAGCCACTGGCTAAAGGATGAAACCACTGAATCCACTATGAAGGCTCCTTTCCTCCTGTTTCTGCCTGCGAATGAACTGCATTCGGGAGAACTTAGGCTGAGGCAAGACATGCATAACTAGTCAATATCATAGCGGAGTCCATAGAACAGGTTGACCTAGTACTTAACATAGGGAATCTTCAATGTCCCATTTGCAACTCTCAGTCGCTTCTACTAAAACTCTATTTGCTACTTCAATGTATGTGGCTGTTCGTGGTGCGTGTGTGTAGCTAGTAGGTTTCAGAGGCACAGATATTGAGCACTTTGATTGGAAACGGGTGTAGGAGCCCAACCTGAACCTTTTGTTTTAATGCACATTTTTTGTAATTTTTCAATTTTAGTGACGGTGGTGGAAAGGTCGAGTGATCGAGTGGGCGAAGGTGACCAGACTGGTTAAGTGGAGGACA